TACCTTTTTCACTTAATTTACCTCAGTTCACATTCCACTTAGTCCATATATATTATTTTTTTGAGCAGTTTCATAAGATTGCATGATATGGATGTACCATAATTTCTTAACCACAGAATGAATTATTATTATCATTAGTCATCCTCACAGAGACACTACCCATAGATGTATTTTGTTCAGCCATCACAATGGTTTTCACATATGGATCTTAATGTATTGGGCCATTTGGGGTATGGTAGAAAAAGCAGTCCATCGACAGACACTCTCATCTTTTAAAGTAAAAGGGTGTCATGAGGAAATACTTGCCCTGCCTGACAGCAGGATATATTCACGGGACTAGGTTTCCCCATTAAATTTGAGTGAAAGTGGTGGAAGAGATGACCTGGTCTGAAACTTTAAAGAACTGACAATGTCTCCTTTATACAATCTCTGTCCCTTCTGCCAAGATGCTCAATGATGAGAACAGGGCTGCTGTGGCAGAGGCAGACCTAAAGCTTTTCACCATCACCACAGAAACCTCAGGCTACAAACTTTAGACACAGCTTTAGAAGAAGTGGGTAAGAGTCAAGAGTTGAAGGAGGGAAATTCCCACCCAATGGAAGAGAAAAAAAACCCTTTTATGGAAAAAAAATCATCTTATGAAAACAACTGTTTTAATGAGGAAGAAGAGGTTGAGTCCTAGAAAAAGACTGGCATCTTGGTATGATTTTTCTTATAAGAATTTCTGTAATATAAAATGTTTCATGGCTGAAAGCATAGTTATAGCACCAATAAAAATGTGTCAAGAAAAAAAAGAAGAAAGAAAAATAGGGGCTACAGTTGTAGCTCAGCGGTAGAGCACTCTCCTAGCAAGGCGCTGGGTTCGATCTTTAGCACCACATAAAAATAAATAAATAAAATAAAGGTATTGTGTCCAACTACACTTAAATTTTAAAAAGAAAGAAAAATAAAGTATAAAATGCTAAGTTCTAGGTCTGATGTTCATTCCTAGAGCCCTGGGATAGTCCAGGCTCCTGTAAATCACACATCCGCACTCACTTTACAGATAGAGGTGAGGCCAGCTGTCCCATATTTCCAAAGTTTGCCTTGCTTGTTAATTTTTTATAGATTTGCATTTTAAATCAGTCCTTTATTTTTCTTTTCCATATCATGTTACCTCTTTTGACAAATTTGAAGGCATTACTACCACCCAGCTAATCCTTTAAATCCTACTTGAATCTCACACCAAGAGTGCAGAAACTCCTTCCTTTGGCTCTACACTCTTTGATGCTATTTGTTGCTTCTAACTGTGTATAAAACATCATGACTCCTGTTTTAACAACCATCCCATCTTAGTCTTCATTTTCCTCTTCTTGCTTCTTTGCATGTTCTATCCCTCTAATTTCTTCTCCACATTATCACTCCAATTTAGGCCACTCTGTCTTAATAACCTTAGCTTCATTCATCCCATCAGTCCCACTTTTTCAAACATAGAATTCACTCTATCTTCTTTCAACTCAAGTCCACATCTTGCCTCATCTCATATTATCTTCCCCTTTCCTTTACTTTCCCTCTTTCCTTCATTGTTATAAACAGGGTAGCCCAGGCAGAGTTTGTCTTAAAAGATAAAGTTGGCAGAAGGAGGGGCAGGAGGGACAAGGACCAAAGAGAGCAACAGGTTAGGTTAGCTTTCCCAGGGCTACCCTCACATTCCCAAGTGCCTGGGATAACCTCTCAGGCAAAATGAAGATGAGGCAAGTAGTGTGTGAGGTGAGGCAAAACCAGATGTAGCAACATAAGCTGACTGAGCCTTGTGAGCAAGTGGCTCAAAAAAGAAGAAACAATAATGACCAATTGAGATATGAAAAGATTCTTATCCTCAATACAAATCAGGAAAATGAAAATCTCTGCCTATCATGAGGGTAATGATTAAAAAGATGGACATGAAACAGTGATGGCAGAGTGTGAGGAAACACTCTCAAATACTGTTACCAATGGGATAAATTGATAGGCTTTCTTTACCACAGTTTGGCAATATACAACTATACTTCCAATATCTACAGCTTTGACCCCAGAACTCCAACATATAGGATTTAGTGCAAGAAAACAATTAGATGGAGAAACAAAGATATGGATCTGAAATCATTGATAACCTCTGCCTTCTTTAAAACAAGAGCAAAATGGGGTTTGGGGGAAGCCTGGCAAAGGGAGGAAAGAGGAAGGACAAAAAGAGAAGGGGAGAAGGGGGAGCAGAAAGGAGATACAGAAGGGTGTGAGGAGTACATGAGGTGGGCAAGGGTGAGAAATAAGTGAAAGAGCAGGTGGGGAGATGCAGGGTCACAGATGAGCTTGAGAGAAAAGTATGGGGAACAGAGAAGGAGGAGGGAGGAGAGAGAGAAATCTCCATAAACAATAAACAATTATGGTATCCATATCACGCAAGCATTAAAATGAATGATGTAGTTCTCTACTATGAAATAGAAAATGGTTCATTAGAAACAGCAAATTTAGTGTGATCCTGTTTATCTAAAGTGATACAAAGGAATTACACCATGTGCACCACGGATCTCATAAGTGGACTTCCTCTGGTAGATTTAGACTCTACTTCACACATTTCACACATATCTAAAGTGACAACAAAGGGTTTTACACCATGTGTACTTCCTCTGGTAGATTTAGAGTCTACTTCACACATTTCTAATTTGTCTGAATTTTAATATTTTCTAGCAATATGCAAGATACTAAAATTCTATCTACATAATTTAAACCAACCCATACTTTCCTGTGTGCATGAACTAACATGGAAACAAATTAAGTAGATATGATGATACTGCCTGCTTTTCATATTGCAAAATGTTCTGTTCTTCATACAATAAATTTAAACTCTATCTGCTCATTAAAAGGCCATGTGTGGCGGGCTGGGTTGTGGCTCAGTGGCAGAGTGCTTTGCCTCACACATGTGAGGCACTGGGTTCAATCCTCAGCATCACATAAAAATAAATAAAAATATTGTGTCTGTGTATAACTAAAAAATATTTTTAAAAAAGGTCATGTGTGTAAACCTGTTCTGAAAAAAAACAATGGAAGTAGGCTATGACTACAGATGTCACCTGCCCATCTATTCTTTGTTCAAACTTGGCTCTATCTGGACATGCCACAAGGGTATTTATCAAAATAAAAATATTTTCCTTCATGAAGTCATATCATTGAAGATGTCAAAAAGAAACTGTCTTAATTCTGGTTCTCCCTAAAGAACTTGAAAACAGGTTTGGGAAAATGAGACAGAATACATGGAAGAAAAGTAAGTATGTTAACAAATGAGGTAATATGGCAGACATCTGGGATTCAGTGCTTCTGCAAGCTTTATGAAAAGCCATCAAAGGAAGAATCATAGAACTTTCCACTGACTGACACTTGCAGGGCATGGGAATATGTGCCTCAGATGCATATTGAGGTCTTTGGACCAAACAGAGTGACAATTTGTATTATGATTTTTATCTAACCAAAACCTTAAAACTCCATGGAGTCAATACTGGCCTTATTTATAAATTAGGAATCTGAAGTACAGAAAGATTAAGGCACTTGCTAGAAATCAAAGTTAAAAATCAGCTGAGATAAGCTCTAAATGCAATTTTGTCTCTTCTGCTATATGATGCAATGTGGCAAAAGGTTGTCAATTCTCAGAGACAGTTGATCTCTCTCTTGCTTGGTCGAACAGCCTGAGAGATGCATACACATTTCCAGCCTCCCTCCTTGCAAGAGAAAGGTATTCAGATAGCTACCCAGATTATCTTAATCCTCTTAAATCCACAGAAAAATCTTCTAGGTCATAATCCACCAGCCATGTGAATTTTTAGAGCATCATCACCCTGGCTACTCCCACCCTAAATACCAGTTACTATGAAATTATTCCAGAATTTATAACAAAGTATGGGGAGAAATTCAAGAGAAATTTTTGTCTGATGAACTCATTGGGAGAATCGAATTTCACAGAGTTTCAGAGTCGAGTATATTAAAAAACAATCTACAACTTTACTGTAAAGAGAGCACCTTATTAGAACAAATAAAACATGCTGAGCTCTGCCCAAACACAGAGGTCACCTCATGTGTGAGCCAAGGAGTGTCTTTTCTTGCTTTAGTAGAAAAGATAATAATCTGCAAATCATTAGCATCTGAGGCTGGCTTGATTTAAAATGCACATAGATGTATAAAACGTTTCAGGAAATCAGTGTATTTATAGCTTGCTTGCATGAATCAGTGGAAAGGCCCTTGCTGCTCCCAAAATAACACCTGGAACTTGCTGTATCCTATCACCTGCAGTGATGTAAATGCATGTCTCTCACCTTCTATTCCTTAGCTTCCCCAGGAGGACATGTTCCACTTCACAGGAAGCCAGTGGAGCAGACAGGCTCCCAGGCTTCCTCCACCTCTGGCCCAACTGTACAGCTGTTGGCTTAAGAAAGGCCCATTCCCAGAAGTCCCAGTGCAACCTGTTTGAAGAAGTCCTTGTTCTATATCCCTCTATTACCTACCCAACCACCAGGCTGATTTAAAGCCCCCTTTGCATTAAACCCCACAGTGCACAGGATCTTTTCCACAAGGATAAACTGCAGAAGGGTCTAACCAGGCACAGACCACCAAGATCTTGCACAAAAGAACCACATAAGTATCAGAAGAAATGACAGTGATCTGTTTACAAATTACCATGATGCAGAGAACCAGACCCCAGCAAGCACACACTGGGATTGTCAAGAGTTGTCTTATTTTTATCCTCTTGGTAGAGAACTTCATAATTCTTCATCCACAGCAAAGTGGGCAAACTTCCAGACACATGTGTTATATATCTGTCTAGGATTGGTTTCCTGCCCAAGAATACCACAGCAACATAAAGACCTTTGTGGGATGGGAAATTGCCAGGTCTGCTCTTTCCCCAAACTCACAAAAGCCTCTGTGGGAAACACACCCACTGGTTCCAACAGGAAAGGAAAGGAAAGGGCTCAAGGGGCAAAGGGGCACTTCACCTGGTGCACTGGGCTGGAAGACTTTATTCAGATCCAAGGAGGAGGCTCTGGAATGGGTTTTCTGTGGCCTCGGTGGTGGAGTGGGAGGGTCCTCACCCCTTTTCATGGCCTCTTCTATGGAGGTGCTAGAGTAAGATCTGCAGCAAAATAAGGGAAGGTCAGAAGGGAGATAGCAAACCTTACTCCTGAAGTTGGGTTGAAACAGAAAATATCCCCAAAGTCAAAGTGACTGCAAAGAACTGATAGGCTGCCAAAAGTAGCCATAAAATCTATTATCTCTTAGATGCTGTTATGTATAATAATTGTCCAAATACAACCATAGATTGGAGTATTTTTACCACTTTTCTCTTATTATAGCATATACCTAACTTTATCCCCAAAAGCTTTGTGTAGATTCAAATTGCTTTTTATTAGAGTTGATAATAAGAGTAACATATAAGACTTTCAGCTTAGGTACTTCCGAGTTTTAATAGAAGAGCTCCCTGGTATTAACTGATTGCAGAACTTTTTTCAGTTTACTTGCAAGTATGATAACAGGCACATACGGAATTGGGGCAGATAAATTCGGATTAAGAATCAAATATTCAAAGGAATATGTCATAAATGAAATTTAGGAAAGGAAAAACACACATCAAAAGGCTAAGGGATTCAACTTGTCTTGTCCTAAGAAATAGAGGTTTAGGGAAAATTTGAAAGCAAAACCTTCAACTTAATCATCTTCTTCCTTAAGTGTAGCAAGGTGCAACTTCTGAGATTATAACTCTAACAATGACATTTAAGGAAAAAGGAACTGAATAACTTACCATCACCAAAGGTCACACTGGCTAGAAAGTTACATAGGTTCTTTCAAACTCCAGTCTCTGTTTAAAATTCCATTTTAAAAAATGTTTTTATATGGCCTATGAGCCAGACAGTAGCAGCTAGAGTATTTATTGGAGACCTAATTATTTTCTCATTAATTCAACTCCATACATTGACCTATTGCTTAGGTCAAAGGATAGGCTCCCAACATGATGATCACAAAAAGGATAGGGGAGTGGATGTGTATAGTCTCTTCTCTTCAGCTTTTCCACTAATTTCATGTCAAAGCAGAAAATTACCTCTGAGTCAGAGATATGTCCTGGAGGCAAATTAACCTCAGGAAACTGTTCTTTGGCCTTAGCTATGAGAGTGGTACTTAGGAAATTAGAATCTATCAATGACTATTAGGCCCCTCAGTTCTTGGCAGAGCTGCTCTTGACACAGCAAGTTTTTATTTTCCTCAATTAGTTTCTCAAGGTTTCTTTGTGGTAGTTAAAGAGTTTTATCTGTCTTGCAAGGTTGTAATCTTTAATAAAGCCACCATAATGACATCTGACATGCTCTGGGGTGGTCCCTGTAATATAATTGGCAAGACAGTTAAGGCAAGGCAAGGACAGGTGAGAACTAGCAAGGAGGAATGCTCTAACACTTTCAACCAGAATAAAAGGGAATTGATATAATAAGACAAGGTTTTTAAACAAAAACTCCAGATTTAAAAAAAAAATCCAGACCCTAGGTAAAAACTATGTCACATACAACTTTTATAACATCTTCCACTCAAGAAAGAATAATGTGTGTGTATAAAAAATGTGTGTGGGGCTGGGGTTATGGCTCAGCGGTAGAGCGTTTGCCTAGCACATGCAAGGCCCTGGGTTAGATCCTCAGCACCATATAAAAATAAATGAATAAATAAAACAGGGGTATCATGTCCATCTACAACTAAAAACATAAAATTTTTTAAAAAAAATATGTGTGCATGTGTAGGTATACACACATGAACACCATCCCATATAATAAGCCTCATTTCCATTTCATGTCCACATATAACCTGTGTGTTTATATTTTCATATTGAAAGTACTAAATATCAAATAAGTGAAGTTGTATAACCATGACAACAACCAATTAAAACTTAAACGTACAGGGAACTGACAAAAAATAGACATAGTGGCATTAGAACGACTTTCCCTCTTTCTCTTACATTTCCACAAAGCTTTACTATTCTAAAAAGAAGAATTAAAATGATTTGAGTCTCTTGTTCACAGTAAAGACCCAGGTGGAAATAGTGAAAATAAAATCATCCAAATTATACCAGGAGGCCAATCTCTGAAATAATAATATTAAAAATTTACTACACATACTAATAACAGAGAATGTGCCTAAGAAATTTTATAATTGCACTGACATTGGGGGAGAGAAGTAGCCAGCAAAAGCTAAAACTATGAAGTTCAATTTATGGTTTAACACATAATACATAAGCAGATTTCTGCAATTCAAAGAGGGTTTTCCTACTAGGAAAACAGACAAAAATTACTATTACCATATACCAATGCTAGTATAGACCTTTGTAAAAGATCCATTCATCCTTAAACTGGAAATTGATTGAAGAAGTAATGGTGGAGTTGAAGGAGAGAAGTGGAGGTGCTAGGGACTGAATTGGAGTGGATTGTGTTCCATGCTTTTGTGATAATCTCAGGATATATCCTTATATTGTATACAACTAAAAAAATTTTAAAAAATAAAAAGAATAAGTAAATGTGGTGACACTAGACATAAAAAGTGACTATGCCTTTCCTTCCCGTTAAAATAAATTAGTTTATAATTTTTAAAATATAAATATAGGTATCTCTATTTTCTATAAACAAGGAAGCAAAACTTCAGTTTAGAAAACATAGATATAAAATATAAACTATGGAGTAACTCTCTGCCTTACAATGAGATGAGATTTCCATAAATATAGGTATTTATTTCAAGCTTATTAACTACCATCAGGCTTAAACTCACTTTTTCACAAATGTGTCTAATATATTGCCAAAGGAGTGGGGGAAGTCACAAAGCACCAAAGCAAAACTCAGAAAACACATAAGGTAGTCTATCTTACACAGGTTCTACACAATTCTATCTTAGCAGTTCTACTTCTTTGAAGTAGTCCTAATATCATTTCTTCTCTTTGGTGGATTTTAACTCATTTAGCGTTTCTATATTTCTCTTCTACTCCTCTGAGTCTAATATCAACCACAATTTTGCCCTACTGGTTCTGCCTCTTCCACTAATGATTTATTTTTTAAAAGGTGGAGCAGAGAAGAGACACTAAGATAGTTTTGAAAAGACTATTAAGCACTGCTTACCTGAAATTTCACACCTACTTGAAATCATCAAAAGCATTTCCCTATTTTATATTTTATTCCAGAGATTTCTTACTTTTTGGTATTCACCTGGTCATGATAGCAAATTTTAGTTGTTAGTTACCTATTAACCATATTCTACTCTTTCCAACACTACTTCCTCCTATTATTTATCATTCTGCTCCAACAGGATCATCTTACACAACCCAGTTCCTGTAAGGGGACTACAGAGGATCAGTCACCATTTTCTAGCACTAATGGCCACAGAGAATAAGAGGTTCACCAGCAACACTCTGTGTTCCAACCAGGTCACTCACAACTAGTGAAACAGCCCATATCCTTAGCTTCAAATATAAAGGCAAATAAGATCAGTGTTTGGGTATGGGGAGTATTTCTAGACAGGGACAGGGCACAAGGGTATTAAAGCAGAAATTAAATAAATACTACCTGGATCTTGGTCTTGCTTTGAGACTGTTGGAATCCTTAGGAGTTGCTGAAACAAAAGATTATTTGTTATTTGGTTGGGTTTAATTTCTGCAGGTAAACAGGATTATAAGCAGCACCTGGGCCCATACAGAACATATCAACAAGTAAATGTGAGGTAGAGTCATCCATGTGGAGAACTTCAGGGCTTCCACATTGTCAGAGTTTCCTAATATTATTTTAAAGGTAAAGGCATGACTAAAGGGAAAGGAAAACCAGTGTAATTTCCCCCTTCTGTCAGAACACTATCTGAGAAGCCATTCTTCAAATCTAAGTTGATAAATGAAAACAACCCAGGATAAAAAGACAACCCTTTCAAGGGGTTATCTTTTATATGATCAGTCCATATATAAGGGCTTCTTGGTCTATGATGATAGTCTAGTAATAGATTTTGAACTAGACTCTACTGTGGGCCAGGAAGAAACCTATCCAGGCAACCATTTTTTAAAAAAATATATACTACCAGAGCAGCATGGTCACAACAAAGCAACGCTCCTACAGGTAAGCTAAATGAAGCTGTGCTTCTTTTCCTATAAGAAAAATATCCTTATGTCCCATGTCTCTGTGACCAAATCAGACAAAGAATATGATGGAATGAAATCATTGAAATATTTGGTCCACCACATGACTTTTCCTCATCAAATTTAAATTATAAACTAACTTGCTCCCTAAACACCCATGGAGCCTACTTACCATCAAAGCTTGTGAGAAATAATTAGAAACATTTACAAAAGCATCACTCTTTTTTTGTGTGTTTTGTTTTCAAACCTTTATGGAAGACAACTTTAGAAACCAGTAGCTATGTTAAGGTTTTGCAAACATTGCAAATTTTTCCTCATAAGATGTCATAAAAATTCATACAAAGAGTGCTACTAATGAGAAACAAGGAGAGTATAATTTGCTCATTTGTTTTCACAAATTTTTCCAAAAGAAAATGTCTCACTGCATTATTCCATCCTCTTACATGGCTCCAAAGATAAAAACCCTCCTTGGTTTGAAGAAGCCTGCTGAATTGATGATGATTATTAAAATCCTTGAGTTAAATAAGCAGGGCAGAAAAGGGAGCTGAAAATCCTCATAAATGCTAACAAGACACAAAGAGATATTCCTCTTAGACGTGGTCATCTGCAAAAGAGACACATTTCTCCAACCTAAGCATTTTGGCTTACTGTAGTAAGAACACTGGCATTTTTCAGTTCCAAACAACTGAAATAGAGCCAGGTGAGGTGGCACACCACCTATAATCCCCGTGGCTCAGGAGACTGAGGCAGGAGGATCACAAGTTCAAAGCCAGCCTCAGAAACAGCAAGATGCTAAGCAACTCATTCTCTAAATAAAATATAAAATAGCGCTAGGGATGTGGCTCAGTGTTTGAGTGCCCCTGAGTTCAATCCTGGATACCTGCCAAAAAACAAACAAACAAAAAAGAGCCAGCGTTGGGGCTGTGGGGAAGCCAACATATGGCCAGACTCACCACGTAGCTGAGAATAAGTCTCTGGGCAGACTAACTACCACTGGCTCTGTATTCCTCTTCTCCCTTGGGCTCCAATGCTTTCAAGAAGTAATTGGGTAGGAGAAATCCTGGTGGTGTTAAAATACTGTTCCCCAAACCAGACCATGGTAACCGTTAATTCTTTTGTCAACTGTCATTATCTTTGTCTTTTTGCTGGTGTAGGGATGGGTGTGAAAGTAGGGGTGAGCCCTGCTCATAAAAGATAAGGCAGATAGACATAGGGGGTGAGGGTGTGGATGAGCAATGGGGAGACAAGACCAGAGTCCAGGCCAGGAGTCCTGAAACCTAGGTGCTCCTCCTTACCATGACATTAACTAGCTGTCGTTACCTCCCTGAACCTCAGTTTCATCACCTACAGAGTGAAGACAATAAAAATGCAGCCCCTTTCTCACAGGGGCAGAAAAGAAGGTAAAGATACAAAAAAAAAAAAAAAACAGAATGTACTGTAGAGTTGCAAGTTGTTACTGTCATAGAACACATAAATACAAATAGTTTCCTGCTATTTCAATGTTGGAAATCTGGTTTCTAAATTTAATTCCTTCCGGGACAGCAAATTTGGTACAGGTAATGGAAGGAGAGAACTTCTCTACAGCAGTGAGACCATGGGGTGACTGCTGGCAATGGAGCAGCCCCTAAAATCACCAAAAGCAATCTGAAAGCAACATTATGTAGGCAAACCAGTCTAAAACACCTCAGAATGACCCAGAGACATCAAGATAAAGACTGCCACTGTGCAGTGTGCTTGGTCGAATTAGGTTGGAATAGGGTGTTGAGTAAGAAATCTCTTAGACACCACTAATATAAACACTTTCAGCAATTAAAAGGGAAAGGGTATATGGAAAAATATTTAACAAGGAATGCCCTTATTCCATGATAACATATTACCCTCTCATCTATCACCCACCACATCACCTTCATTGTCTATATTATTATTACCACCACTTCATTATTATTACCATTATTACCACCAACTGTTGAGAGCAGAGTAAGGAGATGGTTCCCCATCCACCTGCAAAAATGTATCCAAGGTAAGTCATGGTAAGTCTCCCTGGGTTTCAGACTAGAAGAGGCTGGACTTCTCTATTATACTTAACTCTTCTATCAGCCTCCAAGCCTCTGAAGGCCTGGCTCAGTGCATATGGATATCTGCAAAAATGGTAAGGGTACATTGTGTTGTGGATTCAAGAATTCAGTGGATGAATCACAGCTTCTCACTTAGCTGGAGAAAGGGAAAAATGATATCTTCCTGGAACACTCCAGGCATATCATCTTTCCAGGAAATAGGAATGGGGAGAGAGAGAAGTCTAAATATTAACCTTCTAAAAGGCAGCAACTGAACTGAGGTGAATTGTTTCAGGACATGGACCAATAACCAGAAGTATAATTACCACCTTAAGACTCTTGTGTCTCCCATGAGGAAATAAAGCATTTCTTAGGAAAGGAGATATTAAATAAGTTTGAAATAAGGAATTCCATCATATCCAGAAAGGGGCAGCAATGGTTAGAACAAATTGGAAAACACGCAGCATGCTCCCAGGCACAGTGTGAAATGAATTTAGATACACATCATGTACTTTGGTACACCTGTTAGGTTTTGCTTGATGATGCCAAATCCTAATCAAGGAACATTAAAAATGAGATTTGGGGGGCTGGGGCTCAGCAGTAGAGTGTGTGTCTCACATATGTGGGGACCTAGGTTCTATCCTCAGCACCACATAAATAAAATAAAAAGGTATTGTGTCCACCTTCTAACTAAAAATAAATATATTTTTTAAAAAATTAGATTTAAAGCTCATCCCTTAGAGAGTACTTGATCTCATGCTGAAATCCCTGGGGGACAAAATAGGAAGAGTTAGGATGCTCAAGGGCTGTTGGAAAAGCATCTATTCAAATTTAAACAGTTTTTACTAATACCATGACATGAAGTTTGCAAAAATTTGGAAGCATCCACATAAACATCAAAAATTAGAGCTGGAAAGGATTAGCCTTAGGCATTTAGCCTATACAAACAGAGCGTTCCCCCTATGATGAATGAATCCAAACAAATCTCAAAAATCAAAATTAGGCCTGGGAATTCACATCACTTCTGGAGTCATGACTGATCTATAACCTTCATTTTCTATTTTGCAGCATCACTTTCTAGAGCTAGTGGTTCTCCAAAGAAGCTGCAAACCAGAATCACCTCGGAGCTGACTAAAAATACAGATTTCTCAGGCCCTTATCACTAAAATCAAACATGTATTCTCATTCATATTTTTTTCTCCACCTCTCCTTCTCTACACCCTCTCTCTTCCTCCTCTGATCCAACCTCCTGCTCCTTCCTCTTCTTCCTCCCACTATCCTTTTTAAACCCTAAATGACATTATTTGGGAAATATTTTATCAAAGCGTAAGTTTCAATATTATATTGATTCCTCTTTCCCAATTTTAAACACATAAGCCTGGGAAATAGCCAGCTAATCACAACAAACATGATTTACTTATTTAAAAAGCAAGAGAAATAATAGTAAAAGAGAAAGCAGCAAGTTCTTCATGTCCTCACAACCAGAGTTCCAACTATTAATGCCTTCTATAGTCTCTCAGTTTTAAACTGGGTTCATCTTGGTTCAACAACGGCTCCACCAGGAGAGAGCTGAGGACAGAAGCCCAGCTATTCTACATGGATCCACAAACAGTTCCACCTTTACAAAAAAGGACATCCCAGTTTTTTTATTGTCTCCTTGGAATCCACTCCATGTATAAGTACATATACTTGCCTTCCTGGTGCTGAAGTATAAGAAAAATATTTGAGATTTTTGCTTTGGAAATGGAAAATACCTACTCTGAGCCTCCACTTGACTTACCTTATAGTTCCTTGCTCTACACAGAAACTACGTCTTGTTGAAATCAACTCAACCCCAAATCTTCTTAATTTTGTACTTTTTTAGCAAGACCCTAAATTCAAAATAAGTGATCCTGTCAATGAAACCTAAATTCACAACTTAAAAACAAGTCACCTTCTTCTCATATCTAAAAACAGAAAAAGGGTAGGTCAAAAGGGTTTCCTTATAACAAAACACAAGACAAGTATTTAGAGAGAAACAGACATACTATTGCAGAGGGAGCAATCTTGTCACAACTATTTTTTTAGCTACAAATGTTAATATAGAAAGTACATTAAAATGGTTTTCTCCTACCTGAATCTTCAGACACGTCCTTTGGTGGGGCTTCATTCATAGTATTTTTCAAGGCTAGCGCTGTTTGTTTCATTTTTTGAGAACACAGAGAAGGAAGAAAAAAGAACAAAAAACCTATGAAAGTTTACTTCTGAGGTATATTCTGTTAAAAGAAAGAATCTCTAGTTGTCACTTATTAAAACAGATCTTCCAAATCTCTAAAAGTTGATATAGCATTTATTAGAATAAAGACCTCCTACAGCATGGAAATAGGTTCTCCTCCTACACAGAGCAATATCAGGAAGAAGGAGAAATTCCCCTCTTTCGTTCCTGACAGCCAGGTCAATGGCATGAGACTATCTGGAGTGAAACCCAGGCTAAAATATTTTCAGAGTTCACCGTTCACCCAGTGGTGATTCCACTATGCGTCAAGACTAAGATCCACCAGTTAGGAGAGTGATGAGAACACACAGGGCTACATCCACTGTCTATTTCATATGCCTCTTCTAAGCAAATATTTAAATAAAAAGCATAAAATTATTGTTGCTTAATGAAAAACTTATTATTCAGGTTTAACCCCTATGAAAGCTGAATCAATGGCAAGTCTCAACAATAAAACCTGAAATAGCTTCACTTCAGATAAGCTTTTCTCATTCGAAGGTAGTGAATCATTATCAGATAACAGATGGAATGCTGGCTTGAGATTTAGAAATTCTTACTTCTTGTTCCAGTTCCTTTGCTTTTTTGTACAAGTAAATAATTCATACCGCATGAACTTCAGTTTACTTATCTCTAAATTTTAGGTGATAGAATATGTCAATTTTGTAAGGACTGAATAAAACAGCATATGAGGAAGATGCTGGTAGATTATGAAAGCATTATGCAAAGTATGGGGCTTGGAGGAAAGGGGCCTTCCTACTATTGCAAGCCAACTCATCCCTGTGCTTGATGGTAGCTCTTTTTTTTTCCCCCAGTGGTAATGGGGATTGAACCCTGCAGGGCCTTATGCATATGAAGCAAGCAGTCTTCCAATTGAGCTATATCCCCAGTCCTAGACAGTAGCTCTAACATGGAACACTGTGCTGCATGGCTTCTCAATAAGATAGGCAAATTGTGTTGCTGGCACGGCGGTACATTGTAATCCCAGCCACTCAGGAGGCTAAGGCAGGAGGATCCTGAGTTCAAAGCCAGCCTCAACAACAGACCTATCTCTAAATACAAAATAGGGCTCTGGATAGTGGTGGAGTGCCCCTGAGTTCAAACCCTGGTACAAAAAAAAAAAAGGCAAATTGTGGCTGAGCTCAATGTCAGACCTCCAAAGAGGGAAAAAAAAAAAAAAAATTGAGAAAAAGATAAAGCGCTGGCACAGAGGCTTGGCCGAAAAGAGAATTTCCTCACGGATTACACCAGCACAAGATTCTGAGCTTGCTGTTATTTCCACTTCATTTTCTAATTCATAAGACCAGATTCCACTGTAAGGTGTCAGAATAGCCTGAAATCAATAGTGACAAAGGGTTTAATGAAATGAGGAGATCTGAACACCCAAGCTCTTTCTACTACTTTATAAACTATTGTTTTATAAAAAACAATTTGAACTATTGCATAATGATTTAACTGTTCTCACTTGCTCTAGAAGTCGGCCATTCAAAAAGAAATAGATAAGGAAACAAAGGAAGAATGTCTTTGAAGGGGGGAAAAAAAACCTCATTCTTTTCGTACCTTGTTTGTCATCAGCAGTCCCATCTTGGGTAGGAACAGGAAAGTCAGCCATATCTTTAACAGATGTCTTCTTGGAAAAGAAAAACAAGTGAATTATACAAGCTGGAATAGAAATTAAGTGATGTGCACATACGATGAAAATGTTTAAAAAGCTATATTTATAGCCAAAGCTCTGTTTTCAGTAAGCTACACTGCTTAATATATTTATTTATTTTAGGTTCCTAGTGAGGCATAAGGTAATTTCTATTGGGCTGGGGCTGTAGCTCAGTGGCAGAGCACTTGCATCACACATGTGAGGCACAAGGTTCAATCCTCAGCACTACATAAAAATAAATGAATAAAGATATTGTGTCCATCTACAATTAAAAGAAAATTTTATAAAAAGATAATTTCTATTGAATTTTTTCATATACAGAGGAAAGAAATAATGATTCAGATCACATGTATGAATCCTACATTAAATTCAAATCTGGACTGGGATTCAGCCAGAGAATTGAATAGCACTTGTCCAGTCAGCCAAGTATGAATCTGGCCTTTATGTACTTTTTAACAAGCAGAGAGAGGTGCCGGGTTTCTGTTCTCGTGACTAAAAGGCTCAGGGGTCACTCCAGATAAACTGGGCTAACTGGACTGCACAAAATAACCACACAAAAGACACAAATACCTTTTTCTTTGGGGTTGCTGTGACGGCTCCTCTGACCTTAAGGGTCCGCAGGAAGAGAGAGAGCGAGAGCACGCGCTGACCCCTTTTATTGAGGAGAAGCTATTCAAATGAGGCAAGGGGTCAGGTTTCAGGGGGCTGAGTCTATCTTCATGATGTCCACTGTCAGCAGGTTGACTGACACCTGGGTAGGCCACACCCAAGGGCAAGTAAGAGAAGGGGACACACACAAGGCACTTCCATGGAACACTCTATCCTAAACAGGGCAAGGGGTTATATTACAAAGGAACAGGTGAGCAAAGCTTCACCCATGGGGCTGTAGCAAGACACACCCATGCGACCCTGGCACCCAAGAAGGGTGGGGAAAGCTCTGCCACATTTCTGTGACTGAGTGCCTCAGCACCCAGCCAGGGAGTGTACTCAGTCACATGTAAGGTTGGTCTCCCACAGAGAGGTTCTGTTAAGTGGCCCCAAAACATGGGTATTTGCCAGGATCTGTCATGCAGAGGATGTCCAACCCTGATTAAAATAGACACCTTGATATTAAAATGAGAGACCTTTATTGATGAGCAAATAAACTTTTCTCCTAATTCACATTTGAGGGAAGTCATCACTTAATGATGAATCTTAAACTGATCAAGTATGAATTAATTTAAAATTGTTTAAAATCTGCTTACAATGAACTTACTTCTTAAAAACTCTCAACATGCACACTAACTTTAGTTAATAATGATGCATAGTATACTTGAAAATTGCTAAGAGACCAGATCTTAAATGTTGTCACCACCCCAAAAAAAAAGAACTTCATGAGGTGACAGATATGTTAATTAGCTTGATTATGGTAATGATTTTAGCATGCTTTTATCAAAACATCACAAATATATATGATTTTTGTCAATTATATCTCAATAAGACTAGAAAAATATGCACTCTAAAACCTCTGATAAAGCAAATATTATTATTATTTAATTTTATTTATATAAATTCTGGAAAGATAAGAATGAAAGGTTACTCATTGGATGGAGGAAAGGAATAAAAGGAGGATTCATCAACAAATGCCTTTTGGTATTCTTTACATTTTGAACACATTAAAAACAAAAATAAATATAAATTTTAAAATTTAAGGGAAGAAAAGTAAATTTTTGGAACAGTTTGATGCTCAAAAGGTTAACTGGTTTACGCCTCAAAACTTGAGCAACCCCAGAAAGATAAGCAATGCATCTATTTTTAAACTATTCCAAAAATTGAGGTTACAGTACTACTTGTGGTAACCTGATCTAGGATTTAACAATCCTCAGGTAATTCTTGGCATTACAATGAAGCCTCCAGATATAATTTCCTAATCAAAGCCAACTAGCTCCATTAGAACAGACAATTTATCTTACAATGTCTTCTTTCATTGTCTGTTCCCACAAAGATTATAAATCAGACCTCTTTGAAGAAGAAACTGATTTGTGAATACACAATACAGATTTTTAAATTCTAAAAGTTTGTTGGAAAATGTAAAATCTGAACAAATGGAATGATAATCCCATGTTCATTAATCAGAAGACTTATTAAATGGCAGTCTCTTTCAAATTGATCTACATTCATTGCAATTCTTCTTGGTTAATTATTGTGAAAGTTTTTGGTTTGTTCTTTTCTTGGATTTTTGGGGGGTTGGACAGAATTTGACAAGCTTGCCTTAAACTTCATATGGAAATACAAGGGGGCCAGAATACCAAAATATTCATGAAGAAAAAAGATCACATGTTCAACTTCATAACTTACCACAAAATTACAGAAATAAAGATAATATGATACTGGCATAACCATAAACATATAGATATAAATGGAACAGAACTGAAAATACAGAAATAAACCTGTATTTTTACAGGTGATCAATTTTTATAAAACAATTCAATGGGAAAAACTATCCTTTAAATAAATGGTGCTGGGACATCTCTATATCAATACACAAAAGAATGAAATTTGACATCTTCTTCAGAGCTTACACAAAAATTAACTCAAAATAGATCATAGACCTAAATACAAAACTTAAAACTATAACATACTTAGAAGAAAACATAGTAGTAAGTCTTCAAAATCTTGAATTAGGCAATAGTTATTTTAGACAAGACACAGACGCACAAGAACACTTACAAAATCAATAGAAGACAAATAAACCAATTTAAAAATGAACAAAGGATTTGAATAGATATTTCACCAACGATACACAAATGGCTAATAAGCACATGAAGAGATGCTTAACATCATTAGTCATTTAGAAAATCAAATTAAAACCACAATGAGGGGCTGGGGTGGTGGTTCAGTGGTAGAGTACTTTCCTAGCATGTGTGAGGCTCTGGGTTCGATTCCAGCACTGCATATAAATAAATAAAATAAAGTTCCCTTGACAACTAAAAAAAATTTTTTAAAAATACAATGAGATGCCCCTTCATTCCATCAGGATGGATAAAATGGAAAAGATAATAACAAACGTAACCAAGGATGGTGGCGAATTGGAACCCTCACACACAGCTGGTGCGAGAACATAAAACAGGACAGCCACTTTGCAAAGCAGTTTAGCAGTAACTCAAGAAGACAGAGTTACA